TTATTGGACAAAATATTGTAAAGGTCATGTTATTTGTAATACCTCAAGAGGTATAAAAGAGCTTGGTTTTTAGACTAAGTGAGAATCATCATGTTCATGATATAATAATAATAATATAATAATAACCTTGTAACAAACATATTATTGCTAATAAAGACACATAACACTTTTACAATAAAAACTTGAACTTTTAATAAAACCTTTGCTGAAAAGCACCTTTCACCTTAATCTAAATTATTCCAGCTAGGGGACTCCTTAGCTAGGACAGTGGGATACATTTATCATACTTCATTTTATTTTATCTATTTTAGGCTTTTGCCAGCAGTACTTTGTAGAGAGAGAGAGAATTGTGCAATGGAGTTTTGAGTAGGCTCTGAGCTGTGTGCTGATACAGAGGCCTGAGATAGAGAATTGAGAACCCTGAGCTGTGTGCCAATACAGGGAGATTTATATATTGGACTTTTACATTGTATCGTGCATTTTGTTCTTTAAATTCTTTTTAATCCTTTTTTTTTTTAATCATACATGTAATCTTAAAAATCATAGTATAAAATTTTTTTTATATGGTTCCAAAAATTTGGGCTTATTATTGAGTGCCAGGATTTTTGAGCCAATCATTTTGAATCATTGCGTCAGTGGTGTATTCCATCCTCCCACATCAAGTAATAACCCAAAGAAATAGACAGATATTCAAAAAAAAATCAAGCAGAAAACATAGAAATTGTATCACAAAAGATATTAGATGTTTGTAAAGGAGATAAAATTCCATCTAAACATGCCTCTGAATGGTATCATCCTCCAAAATACTCTTATCGAAGTTTAACACCAATTTCCGATGATGACTATTTATTATCAATTTTTTTTTGGCGACCTGAAAAATTTTATCATCACTATGCACCTATTATTCCTTGTATCATTGACAGTTGCAATGGGAAGGCTAAATCAAAAGGGCAGGGTAAGTATTTATTTTTAATATAATAAATAAATAATTAATTAATTAATAATTGTCTTGAGTTTTTAGATAAAATTAATAATAAATCTAAAGCTTTTGTATTTACGTGGAACTTCATCATTGGAACAAGTAAATAAAGCTTTTGCAACTCCTTTTAGACGTACTGCATGTGGACCTCGTATGGCTAATGCATTGTTGGAGATAACTGTCTATCAAAGAAATGTTTATATGGGGAGAGTGCATCATCAAGATAATTTCTTACTAAAGTGCAATTATAGTTATTTCGGTCCCGTTTACTTCGTCGAAAAGTTCATTTCGTCGGCTTATGTATTGTACTATAACGCTACTCATAATTTATGTCAATATTAAAAAGATAAAAGTCGTTAATTATCAAGGCTCGGAGCAATGAACAACCTGACATTTAATTTGAGTATTGTAATAATGATAAATGAGGTGATGATAGTGATGGCAACAATATCGACATTGAATATTTTAGCATTGATAATAATTATTG